CAACTGACCCACTGAAATAAGATTTCGTGTTAGACTAGACACATGTCTAACATCCTTCAATTTCAAAACTGTCTCATCTGTCTGAGTAATTTGCACATCCCCTTTTCCAACTATATTGTATGTTTTATCATCGCCCAAATACACTTTGCCAAAGTTTCCCTGCACATAATTTTATAGCACATCCATGTGTGGAGTAGCATGGAATGAAGCTCCAGAATCTACAATCCAAGATTCACTGCGAGAATTCAGTGAACAAATCAAAGCATCATTATCAGACTCGTCAGCAACATTAGTTGTATTTTTACCTTTTTGATTATTCTCATTCTGCTCCTTTCTCGGTGCCTTGCAGTCCCGCTTCCAGTGCCCTTTCTGACCACAGTTCCAACAACTCTCATCTCTATCACGAGATTTACTTCGGCCTCTGTTTCTCGAATACGATTTTTCCTTGCCCTTTTTATCGACCTCTCTCCTCCGTATTGAGTGCTGAACCTGAAATAACATCCTCACCCGATGCTCTTCTCCGAGCCTATTCTCCTAGTATCAATGCCACAACATCCTTCAATTTTATCTTTGCAGACCCGGAAGAATTGCTTACTGCCACGACAAGTTCATTCCAACTTTTCGGCAGACTTGATAAAAGGACAAGAGCTCTAATTTCATCATAAAAATAATACTCACAGATTCTAACTAATTCTATCTGCCCAAGCCTTCGCTCCATGGACTAAGCCTCAGAAAATTTTCCATTAAAAAATCACACAACATTACTTCAGATCGAGTCATCATCCGGATCACATATACAAACTAGACTTCACAAAAAACCAACAATCTTGTCTGCATAATGAAATTCCAGTGTGGCTGCTCTAGAATTTGTCCTGTCTTAACTAGATAAAGACTAATCATGTTTGGACTTATTATAGGATTCTACATTCCAGAGCTCTCTGATATTATTATCAAGAAGAACATGGAAGGAGATTCTGCCACAAAGATTCAACTTAAGGGGATTATGGTAAATCAAATTTCATTTTGTTATAACATAATAAATCTACGATGGTTAAAAATATGTTCCAGTATTGTAACACATTCTGTATAAACAAAGAGTCTCACGTGACATGACATGAATCTCTCGTTGTATTCAACTTTTTTCTATTTGACACTTTGTGTAGTGTCGTCGATAATGTTTCACATGATGTTTTAGTCCCTGTTGCGACCTTGGACCCTCCCACAAGGTCTCTGTTCTTCTCTGAGTTAGAAAAGATAACTGTATTTTGATTCCTTTATCTAACCAATTTTGTAGATAGGAAATGGGATAATGAACGATGATACGGATCTAAAAGGATCGAACGATTATCTCTGGAGCCATGCATTGATTTCGGATGAAACTTATCAAGGACTCGTAGAGCACTGCAAGAACTACAGCAGCCCCAAATGCGACGATTATCAAGATAGAGTTGAAAAAGAATGTGGAAAAATAGATTTCTCAAATATTTATGGCCCGTTATGTTCATCAAATTCATCGACGAAGACAAAAAGCCTCGGAGGGTATGATCCCTGTGAAGATGATTATGTTCACAAGTATCTCAATAGTCCTCAAGTACAGGAAGCCTTACATGCCAACCAAACTAAACTGCCTTATACTTGGGAAAATTGTAGGCAAGTGGAATTTATTTCAACAAAGATTGACATTTGATCATGATTGTAATTTGTGTTAGATGATAACTCTTAGTTTTACTTTGAAGTTGAATCAAAAAGCTTTGTTTCTTGAAATTGCTACTGATATTACTTGCTCTCTCTCTCTCTCCCAGCCCCTTTATCAATGCTTGGAAGGACAGCCCAACAACCATGATCCCAATATATAGAAGGCTCATCGCCTCGGGTCTAAGGATACTTCTTTACAGGTAAAAATGAATTCTTGTAACACAAAAAGCTGAAATTCATCCACAGTAACATGACATTTTTCGGAACTAATGAAGCTTATAATTCAAGAAATAACCGAAACAATAAGATTCTGACTAAAAAAAAAGTTGATCACAACACAGAGCCTCTCCTATTGCAACTTTTTTTGGGTGAATAAATATTTTAGCCAATTGCATCATTCTTCTTCATATGGTTCCTACTTGTGTGACAATTAATGTCTTGGACAGTGGCGATGTGGATGCAGTTGTTCCAGTTTCTGGCACTCGATATTCCATCGATGCCTTAAACCTTAAAGTGATCAAACACTGGAGTTCTTGGGTAGACGATAGCAACGAAGTATGTCGTTTTTTTCTCTAGTTTCTTCACAGACTTCATCCGATTTGTTGCCCTGGTCGAATAAGTTCATTTTGTTCGAATTCTTGTTATTTGGAGCATCAACTGATGTTAATTTTGATGCTGCAGGTGGCTGGATATCAAGTGGTTTATGATGGATTAGCTTTCGCAACAATTCGGGATGCTGGCCATGAAGTTCCAAAATGCCAACCATGTAGAGCTTTGGCTCTGTTGAAGATGTTTATAGCAAACCTTTATTGAAATTGTAGTTGGAATTTGAGTGCCATTTTTTTTTGGTCACATACCACTATTCTTCTGGTGATGGTAAGTTGATGAATTTGTAAGCTGTCAAGTGAATTTTTTTAATGTTTAAGTTTGGATAAGGTGAATTGTTTGAAATGAATTTCTAGATTTATCGACATCAAACTCATGAAAAGAACCAAATTCTCTTTGACAATTATGTATGATCATTAAACAAATTAAATTATGAAAAGCATTTTGCTTCTTTTATACTCTTTTTCTATTCAAATATGAAGTTTGAGTGGTGTTGTCTCTCAACTATCATATTTCTCTCATTACACCTTCAACTATGATTATTAATTTTACATTGCTCCAATAATTAACATTTAGGAGGAATTTGATGGAAAATTATTCCTTTTGCCCCCAAATTATGTGATTTTGTTTCACATTTTTCCGATACGTTGATGTTTTTTGTCCAAAAGTTTAAAGAAGTATATATATTAGATAATGTGAAACCAATTCATGTAGTTGATGGAGTAGTGTGAGAAATTAATTAGTTGGATTTTTAGGACAAACTGCAATAAACCCTTGTACCTTTATGTGGGCCCAATACTACCCAATGCATGCAATAGCTTGATGGACTTCCTATTTCTTTGAATTGGAATTTAATTTATGACCTTGACCGGACCCCACTCAAACCTCTATGATTGATTTCCAAGTCTTCCCAAAGATTCTCCCAATCTTTCCCCAGTATTAACAACCCATTGATATTTGATCCCCACTAATTGTGCATTTAAAAGATTACATTCAAATTTAACAAGGGAATTTTTCAGTAAGTGCAGATAAAGACCATCTTGCAATACATGGAGATTTTCTTGCAATCCATGAACATTAAAGACAAACCCTTGATGCGTTTTGTTGCATTGCTCATAAATACCAAGTGAAAATGAACTCACAAGATTTCGTCACACCTAGTTAACAAAAGGATTTTCTTAAAAAGGATAAGCTTAGACCACACCCACATCCGACCGGCCAAATTGGGGTAGGCGGGGATGCGCATGTGGTCAAACCCAAGTTCATCTGGGTCCTTTCTCTTCCACAAAAGTGAGGCGCCCTTTGTGGCTCAATTCTTAGTGCAAACTAAAGGTATATATGCTCACAAAAACTTTCTTGCCCAACCAATATGAGATTGATGTTATATTCTACATTGTTCAATCTCTATTTTTACATTTCAAGAGGGTCATTTTGGAGTTTATTTTGTTATTCACCTCTTACTCGATTTGTGTAAGTGAATATACTACGTTATTCTCCTATGGAGTAGAACATAAACCAACGAAAAGTTATTCAAAACAATGAGTGGGTCCTAAAATCTTAAAGTGGTCACTTTGGGGTGGATGATACCAAAGAATTATGAAGACCCATGATCTTGTAAATGGGCGTGGTTTTTGTCTAATTAATTATAAGGTGGGATTTTGTCTCCTTTGAAGGTTGTCTCTCTCCTTTGTATCGATTGCTTATGTACTTAACTCTTGTTTTGTTCTCCCTTTTTTGTTTGATATATTGATGGTTTTCTTATGATGAAATGAAACAAAAGGAGAAACTAGCAGAGAAAGAACCACATTCATCTCAATGATCATGCACTAGATTTGACCCAACCCAATTTAACTAAGTCTTGTTTAAATTATTTAAAGTTGACTTCATGAATCTTATTCTACTATTTGTTCCACGAGGGTCACATTTTTTTGTTTAACCTCAGTTAATTCTATATACATAATTTTTTTTTTTGGCCTTTAATGATCATGCACTGCCGGTTGGAAATGACCCAACCATTTTTATTCCGAAAAAGTGTCGAAGAAATGCAAAATTTTATCACATAATATATTTACAAGGTTATTTTCACAATTTGTGTTATGTTTATCCTCCTAAAACTCCACAATGGCGGGAATATTGTACACTAGGTATGCCATTTTGTTATGTTTACTCGTTAGAATGGTGACAACTTTTTTAAGTCAGCCATAATAGGGTTTCTCAATGGTAAAAAGTCTTGCCCCAATGTCAAGATTGATTCTCGGACTTAAACCTGTGGTATATCACTCAGAGCATTTACCATCTTTCTAAATCCAACCTCTTTTTTTGCAAACCAAGAAAAAAAAATGAACAGGTATAAAAAAATTTCTGATTTTTTTGCTTACCATTGTCCTGCTCTCCAACACCTCTCTTGTCATCCTCCCCAAACCTATTGTTTGGGTTGGCTGTAATGTTTGAAGAAACCAAAGTAAGTCACCACAAAAACATTGCAAAAAACAAACATCATTGAGAACATCATTAAGCTGTAAAACAAACCAAAAAAAGCGTTAAACATGTAAATGCCTAGGATCACCATTGTACAATGTTGTCCACTTTGGACTAGACCCGGACGGTTTTAAAACGTATTATCCGACTCATGCTATGCAGATCCAAGCCTAATCCAAAATAGACAATACTTTGCTACCAGGATTATATAAAGAGATGATAATTGCATCCATCAAACAGCACTCCTGTTGGAAATCAAAGATGCAGCTTCTACTCCCTTTACTACTCTTCCTTGTGTCCTATGTACAATGTTATGGAGGCATAGGTTTTGATCCTCTTGGAAAGATTTTAGAGGCTCAAAGGGCAAAGAGGTCAGCCAATTTTGTTCCTGAAGCTTCAAAATCTGATTATTCACCGGTCTATATCGGCCCTCAAGATGGGTTGAAGGAAGCCAACAGGATCACGGCCTTGCCAGGGCAGCCAAATGGAGTGAACTTTGATCAGTATTCGGGATATGTGACTGTTGATCCTAAGGCCGGTAGAGCACTCTTCTACTATTTTGCTGAGTCCCAAAACTCTTCTAGCAAGCCTCTTGTGCTGTGGCTAAATGGAGGTAAAGTCTTGTCAGATTTTCCTCTTATTATGAACAAGATTCGTCTCAATCACGTGCTCTACTTAAGATCGATTTGCATGCAACCGTGTTTCACATAAATGGATTGGCAGGACCTGGATGCTCTTCATTTGGAAATGGTGCAATGAGGGAGCTTGGACCATTTCGGGTCAATATTGATGCAAGAACTCTATCCGAAAACAAATATGCATGGAATAACGGTAATTACTAAGTACTTATCCAATATTTAGAAGTATCCATCACTAGTTTTAAAAAGATCAACTTTTCAGCAATGTTGAAATTTGTGATGTTAATACAGTGGCCAATGTCATCTTCTTGGAATCTCCTGCTGGGGTTGGATTTTCTTACTCGAACACGACGTCAGATTATGTAACTGGAGATCGACAGACTGCAGCAGATTCGTTTACTTTTATACTTAATTGGTTGGAAAGATTTCCAGAATACAAAACGCGAGATTTCTTCATAGCTGGGGAGAGCTATGCTGGGCATTACGTGCCTCAGCTTGCTCAGCTAATTCTGCAAAATAACAAAATTACCAACCAAACTGTCATCAACTTGAAAGGAATCGCCGTAAGTCTATAATAAAAAATTAAAAAAAAAAAACATGGTTTTGTTGTCCTTTTTTTCCATAATTTATCATCCATGCTGACATGAAGATGTTACGATTTTTAGATAGGTAATGCATATATAGACTATGAAACACAAGAAGAAGGAACATTCGATTATTTTTGGTCACATGCTCTCAATTCCGATGAAATTCACGAGGGAATTACATTGAATTGCAATTTTTCTTCGGAAGCAAATCCATCAGATGCATGTCAGGCCTATTATGATCAAGCGTTTGCAGCCATCGGCCAAATCTTCATTTATGAAATTTATTCTCCCCCGGTATAATTTTTAATTGTTTTTCTTTTCCCTTCATAGAAATGATCTTCATTTTCCTCAGTTCCATTCTTTGATTGAAACAGACTCCAGTATTAGTTCCATGCTCAGAAGATTACGTTTGCTCTTACTTGAACATTCCTGAAGTTCAAAAATCACTTCATGCAAATGTCACGGGTCTTCCAGGTCCATGGGAGTCTTGCAAGTATTATCCTTTCCCTTCTCAACAATCAATTAATATATATATATACACAGAGACAGAGAGACTCGTTTAGCACACTAATTCATACTATCCTTTCTAACTCATTTTCATCTGGATGGCATCTCGTTTCAGCTTCGACATAAATGGTAATTGGCAGGACTCGCCAGATACGGTGTTGCCTACCATTAAGGAGCTGATGGCCAGTACCATAAGTGTTTGGATTTACAGGTTAAGTCAAACGACTACACTTAAATTGATCCTACAATATTCGACTCAACTCAACCAGACTTGTCCCGACTATTTGGGTTACATTTTTAAGTTTATTCATTAGAATGATCCAATTTCTATGGATTTTATTTGCACTTGCAGTGGAGATACAGATGGTATGGTGTCAGTGACAACAACTAGGTACGCCATAGACAAGCTCGGAACAACAGTAAAGACTCCATGGTACCCATGGTACACCAAAGGCGAGGTAAGAAAGACTTCAACATTATAACTTGTTAATCTGAGAAATTGTCATTAAATCTATCTAGATTTATTTATAACAGATTTAGGTCAAGACCAAATTGATACGTCAAACTATAAAAGAGTAAGATCATTTTAATACTTTTTCCTTTCATTTTTTTCTTTTGTTGCATGATGAGTGACTTATCAAAGAAAATAATAGAAGAAAAAAGTATTAAAGAAGATATGGATCCCGATTATACATAGATAGATGACATAGATGAATTAAACAAATTGTAACACAACATGACTTAAACACATCACAAACTTGGCACAACCACGACCCATTTCAGCCCTATAGATACTTTTCCATATCTTAATATTCAAAAAACACCTTATCTTTAAAAATAAAAAAAAAAAAACCGTTTTTCTGTTTCTTTTAAGGTTGGCGGGTATGCAATTGGATACCAGAACTTGACGTTCGTGACCATAAGAGGAGCAGGCCACTTTGTTCCATTTTATCAACCAGCTCGAGCATTGGAATTCTTGTCATCGTTCTTGCAAGGAAAGCTTCCACCTACAGATCAGAGCTAAAAAAGAAGAAAAGAAGGAACTGGGAACAATAATAAAAATTAAAAGGAGTTAGAATAGTGATGAAGTTGCAAATAAATTTTAACAGTCTCTCTGTATCATCATTTTATCGATTATTTCAATAAACATGGTTTGTTCCTATGTGCTATAATATTTCGAAGAATAATAAGAAGAACACGAAATATTGTATTAACCGAAAACTTCTTATAAATAAAATTGTTAAAAATAGTGAGTGATTCATATTCACTAGGCTAAAAAACCAATGGTCAGTGGGTGGAATGAAGGAGAGCGTAGCAAAGTAGAGCAGGGTTATATTGAGAATTTCCAATGCATGGGTGATTTAAAGATATCAACGTTCATCAAACATTGAATGACTCAATTTGGGGACTAAATTTTTTATCAATTTTGGTGCATTTGTCAAATTTCACATGGCATGTGAAGCCAATGCGTGCAAGACCCTAGCTGGACTTTCTATTTCATTGAATTGGAAATTACTTCAAGAGTAAATTACACATGTCTCACAAATTATGACTCTTGTGTCAATTACATACATAATTTTTTTTTTTTTTGTTAATTGAGCCCCTAAATTTTCTAATTGTATCAATTGAACCCTTTTGTCTTTTTGTGTTATATAGTCATGTGAGTGACACACTTTAACAGAAGCAGACATAATTCATATCCAACTACTCGAATTAAAATCCAATCCATTTAGAGGCCTACTACCTATGAAGCATTGCTCTTGTTGTTAAACTAAACCATACTTAGTTTAATAGTTTGTTTAAAGTTAAGTAGTTGGTGTTATTGGCGACTAATTTATTAATTTTAAACGCCCACCTCCCAATAAGAAGAGTCAAATGAAATTTAATAATTACATGTGTAAAATGAAGTTCTAAGTGCATCAGCATCGACTCAGATAAATGCAGCAGATCAACTTTGGAGGGTTTAAAAACATTTTTCTCTTCCCATGCACAAGAAGTCGCATGCCCACGCACCCTGTATTCTGAATAGTTTCACAATGATAACGACAATATTAAAGAAATTTTAAAAGAAATGTATGAGTCTCTCGATATTATTAGATATTTAGAAAATAAAATTAATAATTGAATCGAGTTATTTGAGTTCGTTTATTTTGAACTTGGCTCGCTTTTTTAAAAGATTTTTTTGAAAGCCTGTAGACTTTCTATAATTTATTGTTGGAAAATCCCTAACACATCACATCTACTGTTGAAAAAATAAGATAAAAAAATCAATTAACTTTAGAGTTTCCTTATATTAGAACTATTTTTCTCTATAGATGATGAGATATTTTTAAACGAATCGATTTTAAATAATTTTTTAAGTTCGTTTAAAAAAACGAGCATAAAGACTCAATTTAAACTCGCAAAGCGCGACTAGTTAATAATCAAGTTAGTTGGGTTTGACTCGAGTTCGACTTGGTTTTGACTTGAGTCATTTAGAAAATGAACTTGCTTTATTAGTCCTAACAGAAAATCAAATATGCACAACCTTATACTCTTGAATGTTTAACAAAGGTGAATCAATACACGATATTCTTATTATTGCATGATCGAAAGAGAGTCAAATATATACAACCTAATCTCCACGTTTGACTGTTTTTCGCAAATAAAATCACAATAAAATAAACAGACGGCACGATGTCAACAGGCAACATGGTGTGCTGGGAAGAAGACAATTGAACATTAGATGGAGCAGAAATTATAGACCTTAGGGTTATATATCACATGTGTCAATCAAATTCCAGAAAAAAAATCAAAGAAAAGAGGCAACTACAACTACATCATAAGCTGAATTTTGGTGTAGCCGAAAAAAAAAAAGATATTCTGCCATAGCTACCTTGTTGGATTAATTAATAAAAGGATAATTAGAATTTGACCCCTTAAACTTTGAGATTTGTGTTTCGTAGTCCCCTGAACTATTATATTTCTCATATTGCCTCAATGATTAATATCTGTAAACTCGAATGGATAGTTCAAATGATAACAGAGATGGAATGAGCTGTAAACACAAATTCTTAAGTTGAAATCTTGACAATCTCTTAAGACCAAGTTAGGTCATGAAGAATTTATCTCTCGTGAATACCCTGATCTAAGCGTGGATGACCTGCCTTTCACCGGATAATGGAAAAAATTAGTTAAGGTAAGAGTAAATTGGGTCAGACACCCTTGACCGTTGAACCCAAAAAAAGTTGTTAAAATTTGATAACAAGTTGTTGCACTATGCCACTTGAATTGTGTGCTTTTGTTTTACTTTATCCAGTCCAATAGAAAAAGGACATTTGCATTTTGGGCAATGTTTAATTAATTCAAGTAATTAGAGGACAATACGAGAAATTTAATAGTTCAAGGGCAAAGATGAACTAGTTTAGAGGGACAATATGTAATTCAGCCATTAATATAAGAATAAAGAAATTAATTTTTCAAGATTTCCATACCGCAGAGATTTCATATCTAGAACACACCAAGTTGGCCATCAAGTTTGATATTTTCTTTTATGTTCTAGATTTTGGAGGTAGCATTTACATGAACAATAGCTGCAAAATTTTGGAGACAATGGCTCTGAAAGCAATAGGATAGAATGCAAAATAGCAATACAATCCAATTAGGTTAGTAGAGTGAAATGAAATTCACAGCAGTACTAGTTGACCTGCTGTGACATTTAAATCGGAAAGCACAATTAAATCGGAAATCACATGTAGTGTGCATATACAGACAAAATAAAACCATAGGAGAATAATAATATTACTATTAATATTTTGGCCAATTATCAGTTCTATATGATATATTACGCATGAAAGCTACTAGTTACAACGCCATAACTTAAATATAATACAAATTCGACATGGCACGTTTCATTCTTTGTAAACGAATTGAAGTCGGCAATCGTGTGGAAGATGGTGGTTTAAACATGGAAGAAAACTAAAATAACACTAATTAATTAAACCTAAAACAATAAGAAATGCCATATCATATGAGCTCATCAAGACATCAAAGTTCAAAGATGACAAGCGAGGTGTGTATAAATCTCCATTGTTGTTACCAACCTCCACTTAGCTGTACATGGCTGACCACACTCTTATATTTCACTATCAAATCCACCTCCTCATCATTATTGCCTGGTTTTCGATTGATTTTTTTTTTTTTTTTTTTGAGTAATGTTATTAGAACTTAATTTACTAACATAATTCAATATGATATTTAGATTGACTGTGAGACTCATCAAACATTAGAATTTGATGTTTATCTAATAATTTTGTTGAAATCACATTATTATATCAGCAAATTAGATTAAATTTATATATTCAAATAATATTACTCTTTTTTGTAATGTATGAAAGGTTTGATGTATAGTCTGTCTTTTCAAGTTAAATGTCTGATTATTTAAGTTAACATGAATTGGTTAAAAAGATTGAGAAAGATGACTCAAATTAATGGATACAAAAGTAGTAAAACAAAGATAAAACACCAATACTAAAAATTCAAATAGCAAAAGCAAAGAAATAACAAAACATAGTACACTCGAATCTTTCATGCCATGTAATGCTAATCAACTTAAAAAATTTTCAAGTTTTATTAAATTTAATTAGGTGACTAATCGAGCTCGAGTTTAAACCAAGCTCAAGTAATCAACAAAAATTTAACATTGGACTCAAGTTGAAACTAATCTCAATTCCTCAACAATCTTTTTGAAAAAAAATTAGAACATACAACTTCTTAATCAATTTCTCACCAAAAATCTTTACGTGACTCATAAAATTAAATGTTAAAAGTTCAAATTCTTAAAAATATATTAAAAAGGTTGGGAGGGAGTAAAAAAAAGGTTAATGCCTTTTTTCGGGAAATAATTTTCATTTGAAGAGTGTTACACACACTGACCTGCCAACATGTGTAACCATTAATTAGGACTCGCATAGTCAATAAGATGTTGAATCTACACCTAAAGCTTGGATTTGGTTCATCCGATCAATAGAAATATGTCCTACTCACCAAACTATGATGACGTTCAGGAGATTAGTCATAAAAATTTATCAAGTTTCAAATTCAAGACGTCTAAATTTATAACTCTCCTCTACCTCCACCTGAGCTATAAGATTAAAATGAAATGGTATATATATGCCTAAAATAAATTCAAAATTATTTTCCTTTTGAAAAAAAATATTTATTAATAAAATTAAAATAGAATTGTTACTAGACATTAGACTACTTGAATCGAACCACACATTAGTTAACTTTGGTAAGGGCAATTTCGACTTTGCATGAAAGTTCGACAAGATAATAACAGAGTCTACACAGTAGAGACTAGCAAGTAGGTGTTAAAAGGCGGCTCGGCTCCTCTGTCAAGAATCCCCCCCCCCCCCCCCCCTCTCTCTCTCTCTCTCCCTTCCTCCCTCTTTCCCCTCCCTTTTTCTCTCTGCATCTATTTATTTCCTCCGCAACCAATTTCTCAGACTGCAGAAAACTTCTCCTCCCTGTCAAAACACAAGCACCCAAAATGGAGATAGAGGTGATGATACCCTCACCGGCGGTGGACTTCAACTTCGACAGTGCATGCACATCTCCGTACATAAGCGCCCCTTCAAGCCCTCAACGCTTCGGCAACTCTTTCTTCAGCGCCCCAACCAGCCCCACCCGCGCCTCCTCCTTCTACCGCGAATTCAACAACTTCTGCAACTCCGACGCCGCCGCCACTGATAATTCTTTGTCGGAGATTCCGTTCAATTGGGAAGAAAAGCCCGGAATTCCCAAAACAGAAGGGACCAAAAATATCAACCACGATGACGATACAGAATTCGCATTTGATTTCAGTGGACATTTGGAGAGAACTTCCCTTTCCGCCGATGAACTCTTTGATGGCGGCAAGATCAAGCCTCTCAAACCACCGCCCCGCTTACAATACTCCGATAATGGAATGGTTGATTCTCCGAAGTCACCTCGATCGCACAAGAACATGTTCAGAGAAGCTTTGTCCCCGCGACACAGAAGGAAAGATTTTGATCCTTTCGCTGCGGCAATAGAACAAACACGTAGAGAGCATAGTCAAGAACACACAAATAAACAACGTGGAAGAGAAAGAACTCACAATTCATCAGGTACCGCCACTATTCGACACAAAGCAACAAGATCTTTATCACCATTTAGGGTTTCCGACATATTATTCGATCAAGAAACCAATCAACAGAGCCCAAAGAATTCTTCTTCATCATCAACATCTGGGTCGGCGGCATGGTACAGAAAATGGAATCTAAAGGACTTTTTGCTGTTCCGGAGTGCATCAGAGGGACGAGCCACTGACAAGAACTTGAAGAATTACGATTTGTTAAAGAAGAATCACCATGAGGATGTGAACTCAAGTTTTAGGTCTACAGGGAGTTCAGGCTCAGTGTCGAGCTCGAGAAGGAGAGTGCCGGTTTCGGCTCACGAGTTGCATTACAAGGTAAACCGGACGGTGTCGGAGCAGATGAGGAAGAAGACTTTCTTGCCTTACAGGCAGGGCTTATTGGGTTGCTTGGGGTTCAACCCTGGGGGTTATGAGATTTCTAAGGGGCTTGGTTCTTTGGCTAGGGGATGATCCAGGTTTCTCATTCTGTATCCATTTGTATTTTTTGTTCTTTTTTTCCGATAGTGAGAAAACCAAAAAACCACATAAAATTTCTAGTACATGTAATGGATCACAGCTATTTTTTTCTTTTCTGTTTTTTTTTTTAAATATTACAGCTAGAGATGTCTTCTATCGTCTAATTTATTCTTCATTCAGTCAAATATAAATTATTCATGTTAGAATTAAGGGATAGTGCAATTCATCTCGTAGGAGATTACCCTTGATATCAAACTCAGAGATATTAAAGAGAGTTGAAATCAAAAGGCTGATTTTATGATTCATTTTCAAAATAATGTTATGTCATTAACCAATTTGTGTTGGTTCTTTTTATTATTATTTATCATTTTAACATTGTTTTGGTGTAAAACGACATCATTTTAAAAAATAACACCTATGTTGTACAGCAACTACAACAAAGGATCCAAATCAGTCCATCCATCCATACTTATGATTTTTGGTGGTTAGAAAGTTTTGCTGTTATGATTGTGAGTATTATTTGGTTATGCCCAAAACGATTCCTTGTGCTTGGTATATGCTCTTGGTAATAATAAATGTTTAAAGGACTAGTGAAGGCTTCTTACTTTATGGCGTGTGGGGTCTTTTTTGTTGGTTGCTTGATATTTTTTTTTTTTTGGGTAAGTGGTTGCTTGATATTTATAGGAAGTGGTTTTCTTCTTTTCTAATAGATTGTTTTCATAGAATTTGGTTGATTTTTAAATTTTAATCCAAAATAATGGTAAGATAAAATCATATATTAAACATTATTTGACCGTATTGATCAGGATCTAACTTAGAAATTTAATGTATTATTATTATTATTGAGTTAATAATAACACATTAAATTCTCAAAATAGTATTAATATACGAGTTGATTATGTCATAACAACATGAAAATATGGTTGATTAGGATTGGCAGGGGGGTGGTACGACAAAATAACCAATCCAAGTAGAAGATCAAACCGTACACGGAACTCTTTCATTTTTTTAATTATTTATTACTTTTTTTTTAAATTTTTGGGTCAGAATTATTTATTATTTTAATGGCAACTATTTGTACATCACTAGTTTATCCAAAATATTTTATTCTGAAAACCACTTGTGTTAGCCGCTGTTAGTTTGTATTATACATTAAGAAGAAGGAATATAAAAACGAAAAAGAATACATCGGACAAGTCTGCTTCTCGAGCCATGTTTAACCTCTACTTGAATAATGTCCATTTCCTGCCCCTTTTTCTTGACTAGTATCATTTGGACCGGATTACTATCGACTTTACGGAGTAGTAATCTACGCTATTGAAAAAATAAAATATCGGTTTCATATCATCATTACAAATATTGTGGTTGTCTTTCACAAAATTTGAGAGTTATTTATAAATATTTGCACGTCATTTTCAACTTTTGTAGGATATTTGAGATCGATCTCAAAATTTTTAGGATTTATTTCAAATAATATACAAAAATTGAAAATAGCTCCCAAAAATTATAACTTGAACTATAAAAATTGTAATATAACCTTAAAAGTTATAAATATTTTTGTTGTAAAATGATTTTTAAAATTTATAATAAGACCCACAAAAACTATAAATTTTAAAAGTATGGTACAATTTATTTATTTTTTCCAATACCGTAGTAAAGCTATTTTGTCCACTCCAATAATAACAATGAATTAGATCAATAATGCCTAGTCCAACTAGTCTAACCTTACAAGCTCGCCCATCTTCCTAATTTTAAGATTTGTCAATGAATTAGGTCATTCACTCTCGCAAAAAATAGGTGATTGTGGATTCAAATCTTATTTTTCTTTTATGTCCCTTTAACCTTCACACAAAAAAAAAGATCGTAATAGCGTTCATAAGAACTTATTGACAGGATTTAGTGGATTTATAATCGACCATTGAACTTGATCGAAATTAATAAAATTTAAATATGAGAGAATGATAGACCACACCACACCCTTAAAGGACAAAAAAGTTAGGGCATGCTTGACTAGTAGCAACCTGCGGGTGAATTTTCTGATGTCATTTTGCACTTACTCATCATATAAGCTTAGGCATGTTCAGTGTTGATGATGCTCTAATGTTTCATATATATATATATATATTGTCAGACAGTTGATTATAATCATAGGAAAGTAAAACCTTATGTTCGTAAGGGGAGCAGTTTGCCCAATTCACAGAAAGCGAATTAGATAACGCTACCACTATCACCCAATGGATTGTCATGTTAAGAGTTTTTGGCTTGTGTAAGAACTTAAGGTCGAGATGTTTAGTAAAAAATTTAATGTCCTCCACAAAGGCACTAATTTCCCAAGGGGAACCTTCTTCGGTTAAACAAAGTTTGATTAAGCAAAAATATTTTATAATCTTGACAATTTTTTAAAATTAGGTCATGAGGAATTAATACTGTAGGTAATGACAATTTCGGCGTGGATGACTTACCTTTAATTAAGAGATTAATCGAAATGTATATAAATGGACCTCAACATCCTAAAGGAGGAGCCACCAACCTCTGCATGCATTAGCTTTTTATGAAAATGTAAGTTGTGTCGGTTACAAAGGAGACCCACATGAAAATCCCCTAGATTGTGCTTGAGACTTCTCTTTGCTTTTATTTCTCTTTCTTTTTCCTCCTTTGGGAGCATATTGAACTGTTCAAGCTGTGCAGCATATAACCATACTTGTGGATGCAATCATTTTAGAGTATTATTATCTTTACCAAAATTTTTATCAAAAAATATTTTTATCAAATGAGTTGACAATTTTATATCTAATTAAAAACATTTTGAACAATATTTAGTGGGTCCAAGAACAATACTGAAATATCAACTCATTTGATAAAAATATTTTTTGATAAAATTTTTGGTATGTGCAACATTTTCTATCATTTTTGGTATGTATAACATTTTCTATCATTTTAATTGTGATCCTTGTTTTTGTTTAATAGCTTGTATGAAAGATGTTTTTTGGAATAATCAAGGATCATGTGTTTTTAGGTATAACTCTCAATCATGTACTTAATATTACTATCACCTTAATTAATTAATTAATTATTAACTATGGTTATAAAATAAATGAATTATTATTTTAATTTTCTTGTCAAATCATGTTAACTGACATGTTGATAATTTTCATCAAAAACATAATGGTTGTTTGTACTCAAGATAATGGAATATTTGTTTGAAGGTGGCTGAAATAGGTTAATTTTATAAACTTTAGAATAAAATAAGTCAGATCCGTTTGGACTTGGGTATCTGGACAGGTTATGTAGCAATTTTTTGGATCCCAAAAGATTTATTTAGGCTGATTTAAGAAATTAATTTTATATACTTTTCTTCTGATTTTTTGGAGTTTTCTCGTGAATCTCATATAATTTTTTAGTTTTTATTATATTCATAAAATATTATTAGTAATATAAACAAATTTAAAATTCATATTTTGGGAACAAATACATAATCTATACATATATGTAATTATTTTTAATTTTTGACACAAAAAAAAGATAGAAAGTATCTCCAAATTGATTTTTCCAACTTTTTGAAAAACACTCCAAACGATTTTAAGATTTTTTTAAAGTATAACTTTTCACCTAAAAAAATAAGTTCCGACAAAACCCAATATCAAAATTTTTAAGTAGTTAGAAGATAAAATAAAAAATTCAATAATTTAAACAATAATAGAAAATTGAGTTCATAGTTCATGGGATGAAGATGTAATTTATGGTAGAAATTTCAGCAACCATGAGGAATTTCTTGGGTGACAATCTCTTGAGAAATTTATCACTTATAAATATTTTATAAATATTTTAATTTTAATATGAATAATTTGTTTTTAACAAAATTAAAAAAAAATTAATCAAAAAACACTTAAATTCATGATCTTTCAAGTTTCAACTCATTGACGAAAAGATGAGGTATCAGAATACGAACCCTCGGCGTGGCAGTAGAGCGATGCAAGTCCCATCGCCGTCCATCACGTGCAACACCCAGGAGGCAGAGAGGGACACAGACATGTTTTTCAACTTCAATTTTCAAACCTGTCTCTGCCGTTATCTTTGAATTTTCCAAGTCTAGTTAAAGTCAATGAGGTGTGGCCATCATTAAAAGAATTTCAAAGACCGACTTCACTTGCTTCTACCTGTAAGTCTTTTTATTCTCCAGAACTGAGAACCAACTAATAAAGTACATAGACATGTCTACGATACTCACCAAAAAAAAAAAAATTTGACATCATAAAGACTTTTATCATATTTATAAATATTTTTATTATTAATGGGTTACCAAAAAAAATTATTATAACAGTGATAGAAATATTTCTAAATATGATAAATTACCAATAAAAATGATAATTTATTTTTGTACAAAAAAGGTAATAAAAATAATTATTATAATATTCACAACAATAATAAAAATATCTATAAATATAATAAAATATTCATAAAAATGATAAATATTTAACAAAATTTATTAAAATAATAAAATTTGAAGGTCGAGTACCAACTTTTACTTGTCAAAGTCCATGCAAATTTGTGGTTGGCAAACCTCAAACGCAGCCCCTAAACCATCCATCCATCTCCAAGACAATGGTTTTGGTGTCAAAAAAAAAAAACATTTTTTGATACCCCAGGCCTGTTTGGTTTGATTTTTGGGAGTTTGAATTAGTTTGTCCAAACCCAGGTTTAATTTAATGATGATATTCAATATTCAATGTTATCCATACTTATGTTTGGTGTGCATATGGATATACTATTATGATAATATATTTGTATATAAATTATTATTTTACCCCTTAACAAATTTAATCCAAATTCATATAGGAATATTTGAGGAGTATAAATGTCTTTTGAATATTAAACCCACTAACCCACCCATGAAACCCCCCCTCCCCCATGGATTTCATGAAACCCAAGTTCATGAGTTTCATGACCGGACCATCCAACGTGTTGAATTTTCAAACCTTGGGCTAAACATGGGTTTTAGGGGTATATTCTCCAACCCACAATCCAAACTCATATACCAAACAACCACCTAAGATTGTAAATTGGACATTAGTGTTGAAATTTTTCTAACTCATATAATCAACTTAAAATCATTAAAAAAAGTGTAAATGTTTTATTGTGTTTAATTTACATCATTTAGAGTGGTGTTTACTTGACGTTGTATTAACCCAAAATTTGTATTAAATCATACAATCTATTTATAATCAAATTTGTCTCTTGTCGAGTCTAATGCAAATCATGTGGAGTCGTGTTTAACGGAAATGTGACAATTAATTTGTTTATGATGTAAATCCATTAAAGCTCAACTCAAATTCAAAATTTATATAATAAAGTAACTTACAATTCAAATTTTTAAAAACAAACAAAATAACTTTTACTATTTGCGGTTAAAATCGTTTTAAATTTTACTTTAAAGTTAATCTAACGGCTAATATTAACACCTTAAATTTAATAGAAAAAATAGACCCTTAAAGGTGTATTTCGAGTGACTTTTTAAAAGTAATTCTAAAAATTATTTATCATAAATACTTTTAAAAAAAATAGTGTTTGAAACCGCCTCATTACTACCTTTACCACCACCACTGCCACCGTTGCCACCACTGCCGCCACCACCAACATTATTGTCGTCGCCACCACGGTCATTGTCACTCAACACAACCATCACTGTCTTCTACCATCGCTACCACCCACCATCTCTCATCTCCGCTACAAACCGATGCTTAAATTCATTTATCTCTTTTTTATGTTTGTGATTTAATTTTGGATATAAATACAAATATACTTATTATTTATAATTTTTTATTACTATGTACCTTCATACACAGACAATAACTAATAGTCCTTTATTTCATGTTCTAGATGATCATTCCAAACAACCCAACACATACCAACAGTTTAGTCCCCAGGAGAAGAAATAACTAATGATACTATTTATTCTACAAGTGGGAAATAAGTAATGACATGACCAACAAGCTTTACAAAGAATATTTATACAAAAATAAAAATAATAGTTGTACAAAGAGGAAATCACCCACATTGGAGTTATTACTAATTGATCATCAAGCAATTTTTCTGAAGCAATTCAAATTGGATGGAGACCTCCTCTATGGGTCCTATGATAGTCGAAATTGTTAATGAATTTTGAAAATTTAGAGTGTATAAGGTGGCGATCCTTTGGCGACAAAGAAACTAAATAGCAACTAGTTTAGCCAAACATACCAATTTCATGGATAATGTGATTGTATGGTAGCGGCAGGCACCGAAGTTTATGATGTCGCTCTTTTTTTTTCATATTCAACACATGAATAAAGTTCATTGTTTTTATTAAAAAAAAATTAATTGATCATCCCTAAAGAACCCAACCCATGCCAGCAATTGAATCCCTAGAATGGAAAGAGAATGACTATACTATGAATAACAATCTTGAGAAACATATTGATGACAAGACAATCAATATACCAATAGCAAATGCCCCCGAAAAATGTAGCAAAAATTAAAGCATAAGAAAAAAGTTATGTTCAATAACTAATACGTACAGTTAAGACTAATCATCTTTAAGCATCAAGGAGATATGTGTGTTAAATAATCATCTGCTCTAAAAATTTAAGTTGTTAGACGCCCAGCAACTCGCATAACAAGGGGCCTGGTCTAGTCTAGGAGAACCACACAGGCCCAATAAGCAAAGGGTTGAATACAAGACAGGCCATGACAAATCAAAGACATAGAAAAAAGCAAAACTAAAATGATGTGAAAGAATATCTATCAGCAGTACGTATTTAGAGGATAATAGCAAATGCAGGCCAAGCCCATGTCATAAATACAAACCACCAAAAGCTCATCACAATTTTAATTGATCCAAACACACCAGACCGGTCTATTACTAACGTGGGGATTTTTCCATTTTAAGAAAAGAATCGTAGAACCCAGTCATTAAAATGCGCATTACCATCCTCAAGAAATCACCTTGCCTTTTACGAGTATGATGTCGACCTCATGAAACCACTAAGCTCCCCATAATAGCGCCTCAATCAAGGCTCCCTCGAGCCTTTGTAAAATTCTACTTGTCTATAAATTATAATATCTGCCTACACATGGGAACATCACATAAATCTTAAAATTTTATATACATTGAGTAATAAGATTTTTTGACCATCATAATCATTTTCAATAGAATAGATCACTCAGATCGAACAACCTAATTTTTGTCTTTTTTTATGTGGAGCATACCCATCATATACATTTAATCAAGTTTACATAATTATATTTGTACATCATCCCCACGTGCACTCGAGATGTTCCATTAAACTTAGCAACAAATTTAGATGAAAAAAAGGACAATTCTAGTTACGTGCACATCAAGTAAGTGAAAGTTTAGGATATTTGAAAATACACATGTGATATGCACTTGAAGCGTTGCGTTAAACTTAATAACAAATTTGGATGGATGTGGATATTGACTTATATTGTATAATTAAGGGATTAAATTGACACAAAAATTTAATTTAGGTCTTAATCGACACAGATGGAATAGTTTAGGGACTGCCTATGTAATTTACTCAGGAAAGAAAGGTTCCCGACGACGTCGTTTTGTTGTTTGAACATGTCCCGACGACGTCGTTACTTGAATATGCTTTGGTCATCTTTCCGAGTCTCTGCAACTACACCAGAGAAGACGAGGGTTTCCGATTGAGATTCGAGGAGAGAGAAATCAATCAGTTACACTCTCTCAAAGAAAAGGGCTCTCTCTCTCTCTTACACACACACAGAGTTTACGATGGATCAATCATTCTTGTTAATGCTATCAAATCTTCTCCACCTCCATAACCACCTAGACCCAACCACCACCCTCCTCTCCGACACCCCTTCCTCCACCTCCACCGCCCCAGCCTCCCTCCTAACCTCCACCTCCGCCGCCCCACTCCTCTTCTTCACAATCGCCTCTGTGCTCTCCTACATCGCCTCCACCCAACAACCCAAAACCACCACCAAATCCCCATCCAAATCACCCTCCTCCTCCACCTCCCAATTCTCCGTCTCCGCCTTTCGCGCTCTCTCCACCGAACACATCTGGACCCTCGACGCTCCCGTTCGCGACGCCCAATGGCGTTCCCTTTACGGCCTCTCTTACCCAGTCTTCACCACCGTCGTCGACAAGCTCAAACCCTATATCACCCAATCCCAGCTCTCTCTCCCCTCCGATTACGCTGTTGCGATGGTCCTCTCTCGCCTTTGCCACGGCCTTTCTGCTAAAACCCTAGCCACCCGTTACTCCCTAGAACCGTACTTAATTTCGAAAATCACCAACATGGTCACTCGGCTTTTGGCTACAAAACTCTACCCTGAATTTATCAAGATTCCGGTGAGTCGCCGTCGCCTCCACGAGACCACCCAAGGCTTCGAACAACTCACCTCTTTGCCCAACATTTGTGGTGCCATTGGGAGCACACCCATTAAGCTTCACCACCTCCCAAACGATGTTGCTAACCCTTCAATGTATTACTGCCCTCAGGGCTTTCCTTCTATTCTTCTTCAGGTCGTTGCAGATCATAAAAAGATTTTCTGGGACGTTTGTGTGAAATCCCCCGGTGGGTTTGATTATGGTACTCATTTCAGGGATAGTTTGTTGTATAATAGGTTGATTTCCGGAGATATTGAGTGGGATAAAGTTATGAGTGTGAGGGGGCAACCTGTGAGGCCTTATATTGTTGGGGATTGGCATTACCCATTGTTATCATTTTTGCTCACTCCGTTTTCTTGGAATAGAGCGGGGAATCCAGTACAGAATGCGTATGATGAGGCGTTGATAGAGGGGTGGAAAGTGGTGGAGGAAGCCATTGGGTTGCTTAAGGGGAGGTGGAAGATTCTTCAGGACTTGAATGTTGGTCTTAATCATGTGCCTCAGACAATAGTTGCGTGTTGTGTGTTGCATAATTTGTGTCAGATTGCCAGGGAGCCAGAGCCGGAGCTGTGGAAGGAGCCAGAGGAAAGTATCCGTCCACCGAGGGTGCTTGAGAATGAGAAATCATCTTATTATTATGGGGAAACCTTGAGGAAGGCGCTTGCTGATGATTTGTACCAAAGGCTGTCATCAAGATGAGAACTTTCCCAAGAAACAAAGGGATTTTGGCTCTTCTGGTTTCTTGTAAGGATATATTTCTCCTTGTAGTTCTAGCTTGTTTTAGTTGATTGCTGACTTTTATTCTTACAAATAAACATCACAAGTAGATTTTGTGTAGTTAAATTGTACCTGCAATGAATATTACTTGTAGACTATGAGCCAACCTAACGTGGTTTGTAATTGACACTTTGGATGGCAGAAAGGGGTTTGTCGACCCATCTTTTGTCCAAATGGTGTTTGTCACTTTAATTTATTTTAATTGCTGCATCGTTGTCCTATCGTCTTTTGCGAACTATTCAGATTAATGTTAGGTTCATACTTGGATGACAGTTCAGGTATTTGATTAGTCAGAGGAACGGGGTTAACATGTTGGGGTGGAATTGTGATCATATCACATTTGTTGGAGAACTCCTTTGCTGTCATCGCTATTGAGTCTTGTTCAGAATTCCTTAGTGATATTGTTTGAAGTTGCTTTTTTTTGACTTTGCTGGTCTCTGAAATTGCTTTCTTCTGTTAACAGCTCCTTCTATGCATTTGTATCTCTTTGTGGCCTGCTAAGATATATCTAGAGTGGTAGATAACTTAACTAGAATTTCTGTTGAGAGTTGGTTGTATATTCCACCTATTTTCTTAACAATCTGGTATTGAAAATTGATTTCTTCTTAAAATAAAATGAAAAACTAGATCATTGTTCATTTATCTTTAGATCATACTCATAGTACATCTTCCTCATAAGGGTACTAGCGTTAGACGCCAGTTAACTCTTAACTTGCTAGTTGAAGCCAATTTTCTAGAGTTATTATTTATTGCAGCCACGACCTTTTGTCTTAGTTAATCTAATCTTTAGAGACATAAACCTAGAGATAATTATTAGGCTGAAACAAACAGCGCAACAATCCTTCCCTATAAATTGATGAAAGTGAACCATGTGCAGAAAAGGACAGGCCTCTCAAATACTTGCAAAGTTATTAAGTTTTGCAACTGGACTGAGTTACCGGAAAGTTAACCCATCAACCAGTTCAGTTTCTAGCGTCTGTCATTGGCTGAATCTAGTGACCTGCACTTTTATCTCAATAATCTTGGGCCTTGTGTTACAACTAAACATGTTTCACTTGATATGTGAAATCATAGCCTTAATGGTTCATACAATTGAGCTAATAGTTTTGTGGTAAAATGTGATTGAATATCATGCTGTAACAGAGTGTATTAAGCCATAAAGAGGAATGGAACACAAACAAATTAGTATTCTTCTATCACAAGATTATGAATTCGTAGAACATGAGTAACAAATTACTAATACATCTTCTCACTATTCTCTCAAACGTTTTATTCAGAAACATTTCATATTGAAGCAAGAATTGAAAGCAAAACAGTATAAAAACTCTCATTATTGTTCAACCACTATTGGTGATCTCTGAAAATCTAGCAAGCGGAACTGCATCTTTCCAAGCCTGCTCCCTCAGAAATTCCCACGCATAAGTGGCATCACAAAGAACTTCATTGTTCCATTCGTGCAGTGAAAACCATTGCTTTCTCCGCAAGCAAAAAAGTGTGGCTCCCACCTCTTCAGCACGAACTCAAATCCCTGCCCTCCTCCTTGTGTAGTGCCTGCTATCCTCTTTGCTCTTCTCAGATCACATGTTAAGAAGCTCCAGAGATTCGAAAATAAATAGACACTGTGAGGACGTGTATTATTGGCACTAGGGGGATCATACTTGAACACTGCACCACCACATCAAACATCATATAGGTTAGCTTTGCGAGTCACTTTAGAGAAAGTATACAGAGACCAAAGGGGACAGATAGCTAGTGGTCTGGAACATTATACTACTGATATATTGGTGATTAGTAATCAATGTTGAGCATACCTAGGGTGTCATTCCAGTAGAAGGGGGCATTTTTGATAGCCCAGTCAGCGTAGTTGAAGCCAAAATGCCAGCCCTCGGATCCGCCAACAACGATCCTGTTGGAACCACGGCTAACATTCGGGTGTTTGAAGCCCCAGTTGGTGTAGTTAAAGCCGTTGTTCCAATACCCTGTACCGCTGGAGAAGTTCTTGTTAGCCATAGCAACTGCCAGTATAGAAGCTGTTGCAAGGAGGAATAGTCCTTGGGCATATTTGGAAGCCATCTCCACCCTAAAACTATCACAGATAGAACTTGTGAATTAGAGTTGGAAGTTACCTGGTGGTGATGAAAGGATGAACTTAATGAGTTTATATAGGGTAGTAGCCAAGGGAGCAATACAAACAAATGGGAGTTGGCCTAAAAACGTCAAACGTTTTTCTTACTTTGGGATGGTCAGAGAGAGAAAATACGCTGGAAAACATTCTCATTGTATATACTTTTTTTCTGAATCAGTCGACCACTTGGATCTTTTCCAAATTTCATGATTTCATTATTGGTTTACTTCACAATGACAGATGGGAAATAAACCAGCCCCACCATTGATGTCAAAATGACACGGCTACGACACAAAAGTATAGGGTTAAGCCACTTGTTTCGTAAATAAATAAATCCAACACGATATGATTAAAAAACGAATTGGATATTAGTGAAATTAAAAGAAATATACAATATGACTTGTTTATATATCGGTTATACACAATTCATATATAATACAAAATTTGATATAATACTGGCACAGTTGGAAAGCCTTTATGGATAAATAGATAGTAAAGAAACTCTTTGCGGTGAGCAATATGTCTAAATTCTGAGAGTTGTAGATCCATTTTTATTTTGGTACTAGAAGGTGAGATGTAGGCCCGTCGAAAGTGAAGTTACAAAAATACAATCTGATTCTCGTCATTCAAGCGGTATAATTCGTTAAACAAGAATTAATAAACAATTCGAGTATAAGTGTTGTGTTTTTTGACAAGAACTCGTTAAGAATTGTCATGAACTCGTCTTATTCGACACGATTGACAAACTTAATAAAAGCACCACGAACTTTGTTTTTTTTTATTAAATAACTATTGTGTAAAAGTGAGAAACACATCCAGAAGAGCTGAATTAATGGGTTGTTAGTATAGTATAGTTGATTAAAATTATTCCACAGGGTTGCTAAGGTTCAGTTTACATTTAGATGTCAACAAACCTTATATTTATTAGCTTAAAAGTTGAAGTAGGTCAAACAAAGCAGTAATATGCATCATTGCATGGAACAAGAAGGTCAAAAATATTGCATTTTGAACTGGAAATTGGTGGCCGGAAGTTGGGTGAGAAACAATTACAATGACTATGCGGAAGGATGACTCCATGATGACCCTATTATGCAATCATATTAACCCTTTAGGAAAAATCAGAATTCACATTCATTTTGATATATTTTTAAGTTTATTCTTTTAGTACTAAACTTTGCTTATAATTTATTGTATTCAAATGGGTCTACCCTCGCTAGGGGCAATTACAGTTGATTTCCAGTATGAAGCTAAGTGTTTCGAGTTTTTTGAAGTGTCTAAAGACAAAGAATTTGTTGAATTTGATTTTCTCAAAAGCACAAATCATTGTCACAAGAGAAGAAAAAATAAGTTAAAAAAAAGAAAGAAAAGAAAATCGTATCCCAATCAGGAAATAGATCTACTGTTGTACAATAGGGGTGTTGTTCCTCAAAACGATATCATTTTACACATGAAATGACGTTATTTTTTGTGTAAAACGGAGTCGTTTTCGAGAAACAGCACTCCTTGTCTCTTTTCATACAACAGAGGATGCGGACTTATCCCATTCATGTGCTGGGCCAAGACAGTTTTAGGAACCCTTTAATCGAGCCAACAATATAAAGCCACATGGAGAGAGGCCCAAATTTACACTGCCACCTTATCAGGCCCAATTCTATTCACTCGGAGCTCCGACCTTGTTTTTGAAAATAGATCTCGCGCATTCTCTCTCTCTCTCTCTCTCTCCCCCCTCTTAATCGCCGTCACTCACACTCTCACTCTCTCTGCAGTTCGCCGGAGCAGAGCACGTTCACGACGACGACTGCGAGGAGAGATATGGGCCCACCGAAGGCAGTCCGTGCAATATCACAACAAGCCTTTGACGAAATGGTGAAAGAAAACATAGACGATCTCGGAATGGACCCCACCGAAGCCCTCCAAGACGTCATCGATACCCTAACCCTTCAAGGCGTCGATCTCTCCGGTATCTTCTCAAACACCAGAATCATAATTTCCAGTAATACCCTCCATTTTTCTCAATAATTTCACATTACTCCTCTTCTCTTCACAGGTACAGTCACATGCGTTCCCGGAGAGGGCTCAGTGGGTGACAATCCAGTGATCCAGTCGCTGGATAGATTGAGACAGTTGAATTGTGATTGGTCAGATCGAATCGGAGATGAGAAAGAATTGGAAGAAGTTATAGGACTGTTAGATAAATTGGATAATGTTTGTAGTGGTGAGGGATCGGGGAATGCGGCGATAGCCACGAAAAATGGAGGGGTGGAATTGGTATGTTCGATTTGTTCGAAGCTTGGTGGTGGGTGTCATCGGGGTCTTATTTCGGCTCTGAACACATTGGCTTCATTTCTTCATGGTATAATATCCTAGACTGTGTACATTACACCCATGGCTTGTGAATTTTGTTGATGTTTTAGGTTTTAGTATTGGGCTCTATTAGTCTGTTTCAGGGCTTTTTGCTTATGAGCGAAGGGAATTGAAATTGTGATTGGTGCAATGTGGGTTGTAGACAAAATTAGATGTCTATATATATTGGTGTGGAGTGGCATGTTGTGAGAGTCTATTGAGAGTGGTAGAGTTTTTGGTGCTTAATGCTTGTTAATGAATTGGGTAATGGCCAAATGGGTATTGTTCTTTTTGTTCAAATCTCCATTGTACATGTAGCCATATGTTGGTCTGGGTGAATCAGATCTTGTTCAGGTTCGAACAATGGGACAACAAATTTGGATTAGAAAAATTACAGTTTGCATAAGAAATAGGATGGAACATGGTTGAAGTTGAAACTAATTCTTTTGACTGGCAAGTTAGTGATAATTGTACCAACATGATGTTCCAATCTTGCCTCTTTGCATTGTACATCACCTTTGTGTATATGCAGCAGATTACATGAACTCGATGATCATGAGTTATTTCCATATTGATATGTTTTGTTTCTGAGATATCTTTAAATTCAAAATTGAAGGTTTTCATGCTTAAGACTTGGACGATGTTAATTTATTGTCGTTGCCGTCTGATATGCAGATCTTCAAAGTACTGAAAGATTTCGTGAGAGTGGTGGAGCAAAGATGGTGGTGGGTATCCTAATGGATGGAAGTCAAAACATAAACATTTTGAATAGTTGCTTTTCCGTAATTGCTGCAGCTGCAACTGGTAATGAGGTTCTCAAAGAGTCATTCATGGAATTGAAAATTGATGAGCTTATAATCCAGATTTTGAGGAAACACTGCAAGCAGAGCATCCCTGGTTTATATGATGCTATACGAGTCCTGTTAACTTCTGATGATAATCGTGTTGTGGCATCTCAAGTAAGTAAACACTTCTTAGAATAAGCTTATTTAACTTGATAACCTTCCTGTGGCTCTACCAAGAAACTTTACTCGGGGATTAATTCTATGAGGTGGTGGTGAAAAAGCCAGCATAGGTAAGGTAAGGTTTGCAGTGGGGCAATGATTTTGAGACTTGATGATCAAATGTAGTTGATTGGGACTCTCATCTAAATTAACTATGAGATGCATTTAGTGAAGGACACGTGTAATATTACTGTAGGTTTATGGATATGCTCGAAAGTTTGCAAAAGTTGGAATTGCAGAAGCTCTGGTGGACTCACTTCGTGAAGGACTCAGTTCGCCTAGTCTAGTGTCAGCAAGCATTGCTTTGAAGGCTGTTTCTGTGAATGTAAGTTTTTTATATCTGATTAATTAAAGTCTAGAAAGCTAATGCCACATCAAGTCTTCAAATGTACGTATAAAGAGTTTTTGCCATTGAGTTTTTACCTTGAAGCCTTCCTTCATGTCGTGCTATAATTGTTTTTTGTTTGTGTTTCTTCATTGTTAGCAGTAAGCTGTATTATCATTCCAAAAAAACCTCAAAGGGCCTTACAGCCAATTGGGCATGAAATACCATACTATAGGAGTGTGTATACAATTAACAGACAGAAAGTAGGAAATCACTGAAAGTGTATGATTAGGCAGTTGCCTTTGAACCAATTTTTTTAAAGGAACTGAGTAATATGCTGTTACAGTTGATGTACTTGATCTTTTGCGTTATCTTCTCAATTCAACAAAGTCTTGTCCTAGCACTTTTGGGGTCAGTTACATGAGTCACCTTTCGTCATTGTAAAAATAGAATACTCTCGGGCTATGTGTAAAATGGCACTTATTCTTAGGATAAATGTAGATATCACCCATGTCTTTTAATCTGCATCGCTTTTCAGACTTTACTTCCCAATCCTCCAAAACCAATAAGGGGCTGGCGAATGCAAGCCAATATTATAAATCCACACTTCACTTTAACACTACTTTTTCTGGAAAAAAAAAATGTCTGTCATTCTTACATGTTTTTTATGATTCCAACTTTTTGTTCAAAACGTAGTTGTTTTTTTCTGATGGAGATAGGAGTTGGGATCTTTTATATTTGTTTTGAGTTACAGGACCTGGTGAAGCTTCAAAATTTTTCTTCTTGTAAATGGTAATCGGGCAATGTAGCTATTTATTGCAAAAAAGAACAAGCTTCTTATGGGAAGTAATAGGCAGACTGCATGTCCATAATTATCGAGCATAACTGCTTATGTTTAAGGCTTAAATTATGACATTGCCGACTTTAAGTTGCTTTCATCGTATTGGTACAATAGGACCAAGCAACCTTTTATCTTTTTTAAATTTAGTTAGGTCTGTATTGGCTAACTGTCGTGGTTTGTTAATTCTTGGGCTATTTGTGCGTGCAGGATGAAATATGTAGATCTGTTGCGGACAGTGGTGGTATAGATGCAATTCTCTGTTGTATTGATGACAGTGGAGAACAGAACAACAAAAATGTAGCCAGACCTTGCTGTTCTTTGTTGTCTAAGGTCCAGAGCGTAAACTATAAATCCAATAAATTTTACATGTTATTATTTTATACTGGCACACTACAAACTTGTGGTAAACGACAGAAAATGAATTGTTGTGAAAGTTTCTGGCTTTGTTTTTCTATCTCTTTCCTTTTGTATATATTAGAGGAAATTCTGCACATAACATTTTAGTTTTTTTTACTATGTTACTGCTACGGTAGGTGGAAGACTGGTAAAAGATAGGAGCGCTGATATCTTTCAACAATGTAGATGTGAGAAATTTAACAATTTATAGACTTCTATTTTCTTCTGACTTCCTGCAACTAGTTAGACTAACGTGGAAGATTTTTTTCTGTCACATCCTGTAAGTATGCTGAAAATATGTACTTGCATACATGCTGAGGTCTTAAAATATTTCATTGAAATAAAGCCAATTTATAAATTGGAAAATATCCACGTGATATACGTTTCAGTTCTTGCTGTTGTATGAAGGGATCTAGCAGCTAATTAGTTTGAAGATCTGCATTTCCGAAAAATCTAAGTAGGAGGCTACGAACTGTAGAGGGCAAAGTGTTGTTCTTCCATATATTAGTCCACTTTGAAATTCAGAAGTGTGTTAGAGGGTCTTCTGAATACAATATTCTTCACCTTTTTCGTCTTCAAGCCTCGGTAGCAAAATTTGCTTAGAAAATAGAAACCAAATATTACCTCTCTTCTTGTCTCGGGATATTATTGATAGAATGTTCAGTTTCAAGTCTTTCAATGCTTGCTGAAGCATCTCTAATATGTTTTACTTGATTAGTTGGCAGGAAGTGACACAAACAAGTGTACTATTGTTGAGAAGGGAGGCATGAATAGGCTTCTCAAACTGTCAGCCAGATTCTCGGATGATCCTTCCATTCTGCAAGAGGTTAAGTTAGATGCTTGAGTGATGTCTCAAGTTGGCTTAAATAACCGTAACTTCTGAAGCGTCCTTCAAAAAAAAATTCTAATATATATACACACACACAAATGTATGTATGAAAAGAGAAAAATGCATGTGCTGGTATCAAAATAATTAATAATCAACACAGTACAGGTTTCTATATACAAGTATAAAACCTGAAAATAACAATCATCACCCGGAAGTCACTGATAATGAAGATGGTTGGTAATTTTTTGCTTATGAAGAGTCCAATATGTAGACCCCTTTAATGTTGGCAAAAGTATTGCTTACAAATGTTGGTTCGAGACACGTGTTCTCTAGACAAGTTTAATTCTTGTTTTGGGAAATTTATGTATACAGTCCGCATTAGCTGTGTAAATGCATTTGCGGGGAGTTTTGTCTTCATGCTAATGTACTTTCACTGTGATTCAGATCATGTCTATAATTTGTACACTTTCCTTGAGATCCCCAGACAATGCAGCTCGTGCAATTGAAGCCGGAGCAGGAGACCTTGCTATCCAAGCCATGCAGAAATATCCTGAAGCAGAACAAATGCAAAGGAACTCCTGTCTCATGATTAGGAATCTTGTGGTCAGAAACCCAGAAAACAGGCAAGACTTCTTCTTAACCTGTCTTTTTCCACCTCTTTCACGCTTTTTACGTGGTCTCTTATGAAGGCATGTATGTTGAACCGCCTTTTTTCCATTGTACAGAACTCTTTTGCTTGGTAATGGTATAGAGAAGGTAATAAGAAAAGCAAAGGAAAACCATAAGAGCTGCAAAAATGCAGCCACTGATGCGCTTCGGGATCTGGGTGTTGATGACTACAACACGTAGCCAGCAGTCTAAAATTGCAATAACCTGCTTTCATGTCTGTCTTTGTGGGATGGCATCAACCGTTTGGAGTTTTTGCGATGTGATATACATATCAGACAGTTGCGGAGATGTATTGTAAGTTTGTGGGGGTACACTGGGGTGTGCTCTTTCATTGTGTGCCATATTCCTGTGTACTCTAGCTACATTATCTTGAATAATGATAGACAATACATGCAGCGATTGTGGAGACAAAACATTATGATCTGGTTCAGTATTTCAAGAGAGATTGAAAAGAAGCCCCCAAAAATGAGTATTTTTAATTTTTTCTGTTTCGTTTGCCCTTTGCTGTACAGTTGATGGTTTAATGCTGTGGCAGGCCTGGTTAGGGGTGTCCATGGGCTGTGCTGGGTTAGGCTTGTGAAAAAAAAATTGGGCTGGGCCTGGGTAGGGTTAGGCCCAAGTCTTTATTCGGGTGAGTTATTGGGCGGGCTAAATTGAATTTTGGGTAAATATAGGTTATCTATAACTCAACCTGTCATTGATTGAGCTTTTTTATATATATGCATTTTTATTTAAAAATATTTTAACTTAGTATTTTTGTAAATTATATTTTTGAATTAAAAATAGAGTCAAAATGGGAAAAAAAGGTAAATGATGAATAATTTTATTAGAGAAATTATTTAGTATTTAAATAAATAATAAATAATATCCTATACTATTCAATTTAGTATTTTAATAAATAACTTTTTTCAGAAAAATATGTCACTAAATTTTCAATGGTCAATTTTTTTTTTCAAACAAAGTGAGTGGGCTGGGCTGGGCTGGGGGGACAGGTTCGTAGGCTAGATTTTTATGGGCAGATTAATGGGCTGAATAATGGACTTAGGGGTAAGTTCAAACCTTTTAAAGGATATTGAACTCTTCTTAAATGATATTAGATCAAATTTTGAGCAAGGTAATAGATCCCGTGGGCCACCAGACCCATTGACAGCCCTAGGCATGGTGTTGGTTGAAACAATGGTTTTCTTCATTGCAGTGGGCAACTGGGTCTATTACTCTGCATTGCAGGTTACAACTTGCAACACTTTGGGAAAGTCACCAAAATTCAACAACAGGGTATGCATAAAATCGATGGGAGACTATGGTACCCATTTTTGTTTTCTGCCGTACCATAAAATACCACTGTTAAACAATAAAACTTATACCTTCCAAATGACAAGTTACTATGTTTGATCAATCTCAACACAATAAAATGTCATAATCAATCATTAATGACATCAATTCACTACAACTCACCTTTAAAAGTATAACTCGACTTTTAAAAATTATATTTTTCATAATTGTTCATAGCATTCAATGATTGATCATGCTGAGTTACAATTTAGATCCTCGAATTACAACACTTTGGGAAGTAACCAAAATTCAACACAAAAATAGTTTGTCCAGGCCAAGCAGAAGATAATTATTCTTGTCCTTCAAAAACTAGCAGAGAACAGTTCAGATGACCAGGCCTAAGCTTTATAAGGTTGTATTTGCCACTAAGGGGGATTCCTTTTATAGGCGTTTCGAGAAACCTGAAAGATAAATTGAAAAGGAAAAATAAATATATTATAACATAAAATAATGACAGCAAAGCAAGCTTATCGCCAACATCAAAAGCATTAAGTTCAAAAGAGTTGATATATCACATGAACTTCTTAAAACAGAAAAGCACACACAATCCAACATATATGGACAAGGTACCAAACATCAAAAGAGCCAAATACTAATAAATTTTCTGGGGACAAAACTACTGTAAAAACCAGTTTTCATATACACGGCAGTTGGAAACAATCATCAAAATCAATCAATTTAATTTCCGAGTAACAAGCAACATTAAGGTTGGTATATCATCTGTTTTTGGTCTACAACGCAGTCGAGTCATCAATATCCATCAACAAGTGGCTTTTTAATTTTCCTCCAACTGATTCATCCAATATAAAAAAAGAAAGGCAGAGACTAAATGTCAATACCTGATGTTTGTCCAGCTACTCAGAATATGTAACCAAAAAAGCCTGAACCAATTTGACTCTTTTCTAACTTAACATTATAAGAAGATATAGATAGTAATTTGTTCATTTGAGATGTGGTAGCCTGTATTCAGAACCAGAGCGAGAAGGCACCTTTGGTAATAAAGTAGAAGACAATTCGAATAGACGTTCAACATTCCAAATGAGCCTATGACTACCAAATGAGTTCCAACCAAAAGAAATTTTCAAATGAGCATATGATACCCCCAATCGCTATTGAAACATCCTTGCAAAAGTTCTTCTCTCTTGATCACTTCTATCAGCAATCTGCAATTTTTTTGTTATGTAAAACAGCATTTGAAAATTAATATTTATTGCACAATAATTTCAAGACAAGATGTGTTTGACTAACCTTCTTCTTTGCAGCAGTAAGCTCCTTTCTTATTCCGCCTGAAAGACGCAAGTTACCAAGTCAGCTTATCAGGTTTTCACCAGGGTCTAAAAGCCATGCACAAGTTTTGCTATTTTAAAAAGAATGTTAAATACTAAGTCAATATGGGGTCGTTTGGATGTCGTATTAAGAAAATAGGAACTGTACTAGAGAATGTAGAACAATCTTGAATAGATGGATAAAATCTAAAGATTAAATAGGGGATAAAGAAAATACCAATTCTAGTCAAGTGTTTGTTAAGTACAGCATTAAGAGTTGGATAATAACTATCAAGTCCAATATAATGTTTTGTTATTTAATTTATTTAATGGTATTAAATGAGTGGACTTTTAAGCCCTCAATCATCTCCAATTTGTACCCTATATAAATAGAACCAAAATATTAGAATTAAACAACCATGCTTTAATTGTATAAATATGTATTTTGTATATGTGCATTTGTTTATTATTAATGTTGTTGTTTGTCATTATCCATGTGAACGTCAAATGAGGAGGTGAATCTTTTACATGTTGTCCATACTTGGGGGGCATCAGAAAATTGTAAAAAATTAAGAATCGATTTGTTATGAAGTCAAGATGTCTATGTAATTTTTATTAAAATAAATAAGAAAGAATAATCACACAGATTTTTCTTAGATTGAGGGTAACATTGTGAAATAACAATATAATACCACCTCTCTTGGTAGTATTAAAATAGCTCAATAGTACAGATAGATTGTATTAGAATTATTTGTATGTGATACTTAATTAATTAATCTCATATATAATACGAAGTAATTTTTTGTATCCAAATGTAATATAAACCTACAATAAAGCGTTTTAATCCAATATGACCCTTTAATACACCCCATAATACAACAACCAAATGAAACAACCCCTATATGAATATGCTACAAAAGGAGCCAAGTCCAAAAGTCATGTACATCATGTCAACAAACTCAATATTGGGAAGGGAAGTGTGAACATGTTTCAGAAAATAGGAAAGTGATGGATAAGCCCACTCAACTTGCTAAAACAAATTGAAATGATCTGAACGAAACATTTTTTTGGCAAATTAAAAGTGAACTTTAAAGGATTATTAGAGGAAGTTGCAAAAATAGGACTACTTAGAAAAGGAGGCTGTGAAAACTCTTAAAGCTGATAATATTAAAGCCATGTTTCACAATTTTCATAACATTTTGAAAAGTCCAATGCAAGGATGCCAAATTTTTGAAATGCTTCCAATGGCGCTCCCTTATGCAAACAAGTATTTAATGGAAAACATGTAATTCACACAAAACCACTTTCGCTACCAACTATGTTCAAGAGATATGGGAGGATCCTAAACTGGAGAAACCATCACAATTAAGTAAATATGGCAACTATTACCGACTAATAATATGGGAAAAAAATATTTTTGGCCATTCAATTAATGGCAATGGCACAATCAGAAAGTATTGCTAACCATCATTTGGCTCCAACTCCAATGCTTTCTTAAAACTCTCGACTGCAGCATCTACATCATTAAGTGCCATGTGTGCCTGATAGAACAATAGTGTGACGATCATTACGGCTATAAACTTCTCCACAGGAGCAAACCGAAACACAATGAAGCAGAAACAAATGCAGAAGTAAACCGCCGACAGGCACAAGGACTTGAACCATTTGCTAAACACCGTATATATAAAATCCAGGAAATTAGCACACAAATCTGTAACAGCCAAGTAAAATTTAAATATTGTGTTATATAGTTCAGGAAATAATTAAAATTGCAAAAGGAAAAACTGAATGGCACAATTGTGTATTTCACAGCACCTGAAGGCACAAGCTAAAATGCAAAACAGCGCCGCTAATGCTGATATTTCGCTCCCTACTTGGATGACATTTGCTACATTTTACAATGAGCTGGTTTTTCATTCTGTTTGATAAAGGGAAGAGGGTGGACATTTCTTCTCCTCTTTCCCTTCTACCTGACACAAGGCAGTAACACCTTGATCATGTGTCAACTCAAAAGTTTTCTCCTTTTTTTGTTGCTGTCAAATTTTTTAAAACAATAACTTCCAGCATACCAGAAAAACCTTCCATCTAGAAGGCCCAAAAAACTCACCTTAGGGAAGTTGTAACGAATCCCCACCCCAAATATGAATAACAAAAAGAAGAATGTAAAGGGTTGTCACATGAAAGACATCTGATACTAAACTCTCATTGTGATTGTATTTTTCCAATTCATTAAACAAAGCTTGCAGTATCATTTCCATGGTATTCCTTTAGAGCAAATGCTTTATTCTCAATTGGTTTTTTTCCTTCCAGGCTGAGTAAGGCAGATCATAAAAAATTTGCTAAACTAGAACTAGACGTAAAACAGCTCCTCTTTTCAATCAACAAACATAACTGTAAGAAATCACTCTTCACAGTAAGAAGGCCAATCGATCTAACAGCGGTACATAAGTCCAATGCTCTGATTGTCATACACGAACAAAAATGACTTCATCATCCCCTCCTGCCATATATAGCGTGCGTCCACAAACACAAGGGTCATTAGGCATAACGTATATAAATCACAAGGATAACACTATCTTTATCTTTTCACCATGTCAGAGTCAGCACCAATATTATTATTTTGGAGTAATACAACTTTCCAACCACTGGTGATCTGCCACATCCGAACACCAGCAGAAGCATCTCAAAGGGACGGGGTTGTTTGAACTTGGAAGTCCAACTACCAAGCCAACCAGAATTGACCTATTATGTCACAAGCAAACCATAAAAGCTTAAGTGATAAAATCAAGCATAGATACATCACTTTGATGGAAGTGCCACAATTTTCTTGCATTACAGACTTATTAAAACTACCAAATCTTAATGAGTACTTACTATTCACCATAGCAGAGGAAATGCTACCAATATTGATATTGAAAATTTTAAAACACCACCATTCCCCTACAATTCAAATTCTAATGAGAGAAAATACCAACCTGACCTTGGCGAAACAAAGCCTTTGCATTGTTCTCTCCATCACGCATAGCAAAATCTGTGTCCAAGAGTGCTCCCTTCAAATCTCCTAATTTCAATTTACAAGCCTAGAAGAAACAAAGTATATGTCAACGGTTTTAAATGCAGAAAATATTATAGAATGTAGAGTGAGATTGGGCAGGGATTTACAAGTAAATAGGCCTAGCATTGGGAGAAGAAACTGAGGCTATCTGAAAAGATAGAACAGAAACGGTCTCATTATGGACAAGCTGAAAAGACCAAATGAACTATAGTATTTAGTTCTGGTGATAAACACACACATCACACTATGAATTACCCCAATGCGAATGTGTGTGTGTGTGTGGGTGGGTGGGTGGGTGGGTGGGTGGGTGTGGGTGTGGGTGTGGGTATGGGTGGCTGGTACACTATAAAAATACCCCAATTGGCTGGTAATTTTCCCTTTTTCTTCTTTTAGTCTTTGGGTAAGCCTGAGTAGCATGAAAATGTTGCCAAATAAACACCATGTAAGCAACTATAAGAAGCACAAACAGACTATGGTGAGAAAACCGTAGAATCCTAATCTCAGATTCAAGCTAACCTTAGAACTCAGATCAGCTGGACCTTGGGAAAAAAAGCTCACTGATGGGATGAAGGCAAAGCAAAACCAACAACTGGTTAAAACAGAACATACCAATGAGCAAAGAGGGGATGTAATTGAGCAGGGGGAATGCAAAGGTCTCATATAATTAAGCAAGCTTCTAGATTCTCTAACCATTAAACTATGGAAAAGGTCACAGCTACCATAAAATGATCCTTAGCATCCATTTGCGTTTGAAAATAAGAAACAGAATGACAAGTCCATAGTATATTTACTTTTCAACCACCCATTCTTATTGTAATCAAAAACATAGAAAACCCAGTGAAACCCGTGTATTTTCATTTTTCATTTTTGATCTAGAAAATCCATGCCAAATAAAGATTCAAATGATGTTCCTGTGATGTTTATGGCAACAAGTGCCATTCTATCCAACATGAAGTAGCAATAAAACAGAAACTCACAGAGCTGTTTGTGAATATCTGCGACTTTATCTTTCTCAGATATACACTCTTTTCTGCTGTGAGCAAAAGAAAACAACAAAATCAGAAAGAACTAATAAAGCATGAATACTCTGTGTTTCGTATATAGTACAAGGAATATAAAGGAGTCAATAGAAGATAAATAGATGACCTTCATCAATCCCTTCCTTTTCCCAGCATACATCCAAAAAGCGTAGTGCCTTCCGGTACTTTCTGAGGGCCATCTTATAGTCTTGCTTCTGCAAAAAGCAATAACAGAGGTTTACCAATAGGGCAGAGAGAGGAAGGGAGGGTTGGGAAGGAAGAAGAGGAGGGGGAGTAGGGTAGAGGGGAATAGAGAGAGAGAGATTAAAATAAATCAGCAGTGATATAAGTTGCATCAATTACCCTAAAATGTTCATTCCCAAAAGTTTTAATCGAATCTACAGCCTGCATCCACCAAGAGAGCTCAATAGGATTGTTGTCAAGATCAGCTGGCCAATCAGGATAAATATCACCATCATTGAAAAAATTGGCAATCCCATCATCTGCCCCCTCTGGAATTTCCCCACAATCAGAAATTATAACATCAGAGGTGGGACAATCATTATCACCGGCAGTGACATGCTCAACTGAACGAACTACCCCCATGCCTTTAACTACCTTCCCAAATACAACATGCTTTCCATCCAGATGAGAAGTGCGGGTGGTTGTGATGAAAAACTGAGACCCATTTGTGTTGGGACCAACATTGGCCATTGATAACATTCCTTTTCTTTCATGTTTGATTTCAAAATTTTCATCTTCAAATTTCAAACCATAGATGGATTCTCCTCCAGAACCATCCCCAGCTGAAATATCTCCACCTTGTACCATAAAGCTTTTAATAACACGATGAAAACGGCAACCCTGAAATCAATATATAACTATCATTAGAAATGATAAAATAAAGAAAAGCCATGATTGTTCTCACAAATGTGGACATGTCATACAAATAAGTAGAGCACTTAACATTGGAAAAATATGAAATTTTTTCTATGTAGGTAAACGATTTCAATGAAAATTATGGACTTCGGCAACAGAGGGAGATCAACACCACTTTAGCCATTCATATCTAACCTACAACATCAACTTTTTCTTTCATTAAATAAGGCTAGGAATGTAACCAATTTTAGATCCAGAAGCCTCGGTTGGTAAAACGAACAAAATGAAAAAAGGAGAAAATTGAAAAAGCACATGCTTCGTCGCTGAATAGAACATGGGTGTGCATACAAGTATGTGCTGAAGACAACATCCACTAAATGGATCTTTAATGTCAAACCAACAACCAAAGGATCAGGGAACGGAAAAGCAAGGGTCATCTCATGCCAACTGGCTGTGTAACTAATAAATTTGGATGGAGAGAGACGAAAGGATAAAAACTGCCCACCATCCCAAGCGAAAAGCCTAAGCAAGATGACAAAAGTATTGCATTTGATTGAGATTCAGGCCTTCAAAGAATCATTGTTTTGGAACCTACTCTTAAGTGACTTCAATCTCAAGGTGTATACATCCAAGTGACCAAGCCATATGCAAATTCCACATACACCGGGATTTGGAATTTATATATTTTAAGTTCTGGTTGTTATGAATTTCGCAAGAACCTACACCATTTATTTCAGTTCCATCAATTAGGGGAGGTTTAACCATTACATGCAAAAAATTTCCAATTTCCAAATTCCAAATTAGCTCTAAAAAAGACAGATCAGGTATCAAATTATCCACCTGCTCCAAAGCCATGAACTTAAATGCTAACAATAAATTTTCTCCAAATTCAAGTAGCAATGTCCAAGAGATATCCTAAAATTCGTCTTCGAACCAATCGATTGCAATCCTAAAAAAATAACTATGAGGGAATTAAAAGGTAGTCAGATAGTAGTGCACCAAATGACTGCACCAGAACCCACAGCCCAAATGATTACTCATGCTTACTGAAATGCAATTTATCAATCCAAATGAGCACTTCAGTCTATTAAACGAAACCAATATGTTGATAAATCAATGCTAATTAGTCGATGTAATTTGGTTATAAATGACCCCACACAAATGTGGGGTCAAAACTTTGTTGAATTGAGTTGTATTTTTAATTTGGAATACATAATTCCCTTGTATTAGTTAATCAAATACTAAATCCTTCCAAAACATACATTGTGGCTCATTGATGTAGATCGTATTAGTTCTGGTACCAAATTGATATAGACTAGGAAGGTAAGAATTAGAGATGAGAAGAAAAGAAAAAAAGGATGAAAAAAGAGAGAGAATTTAAGGAGGAAGCAATATCAACATTCAATAATAATCAAAATAAAAGCCTTACATCCATCCCTTTATATAGAGAAACTAAAACCCTAAAACAAATAAATAATGACAAATAAATCTTTAAAAGTTAAAAGAAAATACTTAAAAGATAAATATTAAAAGTATCTAAATAACTCTTATAACTAATTTATAATATCTATCCAATTCCTATGCGATCCCCATCATTCTCTATCAATTGAGAAAAACTCTCCTTCGGAAAGCCTTCAAAGCAGAAGTACCCTAATAAAGTGGGATGAAAATGACATAATGTTTCATCTTGAATGAAAGAACCATAAACTTCTTTCCATCGATAAGGATAAATGCAAGAATCTCCATCTGTATGAACATTTGCTAATAAAATAGGAGACACTAGAGTACCTCGATTAAGTAGCATGCCCTCCAAAAAAAAATTCGAACTAATACCAACATTCAATGAAAAATTAAGCAAATAAGCATTAGATCCAAATTCAAGAATAGCAAAATAATTCTCATTAGATTTTAACAAAAAATATTCAATGGAATAAGACATCGATAACAAATGATTAACAATAACGCCTTGGTGGTAAAAATAATTAAGTACCAACTCAAGTAAAATTTTAATAGTAGGAATAAAGTCAACTATTTCAGAGAGAAAAGACTTGGGAACAAAGTTAAATTGACTTGAAATAGGAGACACAAAACAATCACCAAAAGATTCTGAAATAGGTAATTCAATATGCTCGACATCTTTCATAAGTGTAGACTTGACAGACTTTTCAGCAAGTTCCATTACAACTGGTGACCCAACATTTGACATCGAAAAGGCTCAAACTCACTTTCTTCAGGTATCGACTTTTGTTGGTACGAAGGAGGTGAGCTCTGATCTAATGAAATCGGACAAGGGGATTGGTAGTTAACATGTATGTGAGAATGTGTCATCCAAATCCATGGTCACCATGGAATTAGAAAAACATGCAGAAACAACATGGACATCATTCAAGTAATCATGATATTCATATGTGATGGAATTAAAATTAGAAGGTGTCCTGTCAGCAGTGATTGAGAACCCATCAAGCTATAGTTGAATTTCTTATGAAATCTCTCAACCTTTAGAGCATATTGATAGGCCATAACTAGCGTATTAAAAGTGTATAACTTGATCTCCCTACTAATTTTTTGTCTCAAACCAAGAATAAACTGATCAATTGTCCAAGGTTCTTCAACAATGTCACACAAGTACATGAGATAATCAAATTGGGCAACGTAATCAAAGACAGTAGAAGAATGTTGTCTAAGATTGAGCCATTGGTCATAAAATTGATTCGTGTAGGAAGTAGGCAAATACTTCTCTTTCAATTTATATCTCATTTCAACCCATGTGATAAGTGATTCTCCTAAGCTATCTTGGTTTCTTTGGATTGTTTGCCAATACAGTTTGGCGGAACCCTCCAACATCAATTTAGCAAAACGAACACAATGGGAATCCGACATGTCATGTCAATCAAAATATTCTTCTAAATTAGCTAACTAATCCAAGAATTCAAAAGGATCTACAGTGCCACTAAATATAGAATGATCTTTGACAAGTTTGGTCATATGAGACTCCGTGTAAACATCCCTAAACGTCCTATGATGATGACCTTGAGGAGAAATTCTTAAAACATGCTCATTAGAGATTTAGAAGAACTCATGAGTGACTCTTGAAAAAAGAAAATGGACCCCAAAAAATTCAAGAATTGCAATTGATAATTTCAAGAAGTAAGAAAACTCAAATAGAAGACAATATATTTTGAACCATTTGTAAATTCTCTAATTTTTCAATGAATAAAATTATTAGTTTCAAATTTTTATAGAAGTATGCATACCATAATCCAAGTTTTGCTTTGAGAGAATTCTGAAATTCAGAAACTTTGTGGGGATGATTATGCAATTTTTTGAACTTCTGAGATGCTTCTGCAATTTTGGAACTTCTGGACGATATTTCTGTAATTTCAAAAAATTCTGAGAGTGATTCTGCAATTTTTGGAACTGCTTTTTTTTGCTACATATGATTTCTGGAATTTGTTTTTTTCACTGCTGATGGTGATGAATAGTGTTTTTTTTATGAACAGTGTTTTCCGATAAACAGTACGCCCAATGAACAGTGATAATGTAATTTTTGTAATTTGTACAAATCGAAGTTGGACTCTGATACCAAATTGATGTAGATCATATTGGCTCTGATACCAAATTAATGTAGACTATGAAGGTAAGAATTAGGGATGAGATGAGAAGAAGAAATGGATGAAAAAAGACAGAGAATTTGAGAAAGAAACAATATCAACATTCAATAATAATCAAAATCTAATCTAAATAAAAGTCTTCCATGCATCCCTTTATATAGGGAAACTAAAATTCTAAAACAAATAAACTCTCAAAAATTAAAAAAAATTACTTAAAAAATAAATATTAAAAGTATCTAAATAACTCTCATAATTAATCTATAATATCTATTCAATTCCTACACAATCTCCATCACTCATATACAGTTAAAAGAGAAATCTAACAAAACATATATCTTTGGCTCATATATAGTTCCAATTCAACCTAGAACTAAGACAGACTAGAAAATCCGATAATCACTTGATCAGTTGATTGCTTAAGGCTTAAGCAATATAGATATTATAAATATATTGCAGAACTATATATATATGATTCTGATATCAAAAGTAGGGGTGATAACTTATGATACGCCTCGAACCCAATATGAAATTAGCGAGTTTGGATTGACTATTTCTCGATAAAAGTCCAAAAATGACATGACCTTCTAATACAAACAAAACACGAATAATAAAGGATTGAGTTAGTGTCAAACACCAATAATTCGAAAGTGACACTATTAACACATTTAACTAGTATTTGATGGATAAAATGCCATTTTTTTTTGTCATTTTTTATCGAGTATTGACATGAATCTTTGTAATATACTACAATTTTTTTACTTATTTTTAACTATTATATGTATTTAGGGAATTTTTAGTTCTTGAAAAATTTTTGATTAAGATTAAGATTTTTGATTCACATGTTATACGGAACAACCTGACACAACAAGATAATAAACAAATCGAGTTAAGTGTCAAAACATTTGACACAATAAATTAAGTGAACTAGATTAAAGTTAACTAGTGCTCGACACAAACCTGAGCTAACATGACACGTACCCGAGCTTACACGACACAATTGCCACCCCTAATCAAAAGTTGCAACCTAAATGAGTTGCATGAAGAAGATATTTACTTACTCGGAAGCTGCTCTTTTCACACACACTTAAATATTACCAATCATGATTAATTTGAAAAAACATCAACGGGGAAATCAGTATCAGAAATCAAACATAAAATCCAATATAAAATCTTATCACAATTAGGAAAATCCAAAGAAAAGTGGATACATCCCTAATGATTTATTGATATAATCACAGGGTTAACAAAAGC